CGCTCCGTGCCCGGCTCCGTGCCCGCGGCGCTGGGTGCCGGGGTGCTGTCATCCAGCCCCGTCAGTGACTCGTAGGAGGGAAGGGAGACGCTGATCCTGGTGCTCCTGTCCAAGTCTCTAGGCTCAGAGTAGCCCGTGTTCATCACCTCCTCGTAGCTGGGGACGTAGTACTGGGAAGATGTGTCGTCGTCCTCTTCTTGGCTAGAAGGGAAGAAATGAGGCTGTCAGTAGCACCTCAGCTTTGCTGTGGGGAGGGGTTGGAGAGGAGAGGATAAAACCACCCCCTCTGCAAACCCTCAACAAATTGTTTTCCCTTCTATGTTATATAGAATCACAGACTGGTTTGGGTTGGAAGGGACCTTAAAGCTCATCCAGTTCCAGCCCTCGCAGCATCAACATGGCCTCCTCTGGCCAAGTTCCTTTTTGTCTGACAGATCACAACCCACCTATACTGGGACACGTTTTTATTTCCTGGTGACATACATCCATATTTGATCATCACTTTCTTTGCCCTCAAAACCTCTTTTTCTATTGCACAGCAGTGATTTCTTCCCCCAGTAGAACACTGATTTCTCTCTTCCCCTCTCAACTATCAGTCAAACTGCATTTGAAAGGGACATCACCCTCTGCCGCTCCAATGTCTTTTGAGGTGGATATCTCTTTTCTGCAAACAAATTCAGCTCTGCAAGACTTTAACCCCTATGCCAAAAGTACCTGCAGGTAGCCTGCACACATAGACATGTCTTTTGCAGCATGAAGTTACCCTTACAATCTACTAGGGAAACCCAGTATTCTGGGTGGATCTGCACACAGAGGAGTTCTCTGCAGTCACAGACGGCACCTCTCCCCCAGAGCACTCCCTGTGCAGCAGCCGGCAGAGCCATCATCTCCTGCCTCCTCACCCCCGTGTTGTCCCATTGGCCTCCTGCTTGGTCACAGCCTGCACCAGGGACTGTGCTGGTTTCCTGCATGGCTGAGATGGACAGGGGCTGCTTCTGCCCTGCTCCTGCCTTCTCAAGCCCTGTGTTTGCTCAGCCTGTGCCTGCTGCAGCAGCCTTTGCTTTACTCTACTGAGCAAACAGAAGAGCCCTGCAGACCTTCGCCAGGTCTAAACTCCATTCCCAGCTGCAGCCGAAAGGCTCCCTGGCACCTCTGGCTGCACCCAGCGAGACACAGCCCTTCCTCCATCCATCCCCTGCTCCTCTCCACCACCACCACTGGCCCAGCTTGCCTGGCTTGCAGCAGCAGGCTTCTCTCAGGCGTTAACCATTAACCACTGCCGGCAGCGTCGCCCCTCAGCACAATGCCTGTGCAGTGACAAAGGCAGGAGTGGCATGTCTCGGCACGGCTGGCTGGGCCACGGCTCCATCCAGACCCCAGCCTACACACAGACAATGCTCCCTTTTGCCTACAGCACCATGTATACAGCTGGAGTCATTCCATCCTCATCTCCACATGTTTGAACCCCAAACCATGGCATGTGCTCTCTCATTGCAGCCCTCTCAGCCTTATGCTCCTTGCTCTGGACTTCCTGGAGGAAGGATAGCAGCCCTTGGCTCCATTCCTACGCTCAATCCCACCCCCTCTCTCCCCCTGAAGGCTCACCTATCCTCCTGGTGCGAGGGCTCCACAGACACTTGGTGCTGCACATGAACGATGTCTTCGCTCTGCCTCTTCTTGTCCCGGATGTTGAGGCAGATGGAGAGCAGCAGCAGCAGCACACCCGCCCCTACCAACACGTACGCCACCGAGAAGGTCTTGCTCTTCAGAATGCCTCCGTTGCCACGGTCGGGCTTGCTGCTGTTCCCAGCATGGGTGGTGGGCTTGCTGTCAGGGCCAAAGCCAGGGACGAGGTTCCACACTGCCATGATGATGCCGAGGACGAGCATCCCCAGCCCTATTGCTGTCAGGGCGTAGTGCGAGCCGTTGGCACGAGACTGGGCCATTGCTCTCGCTGCTGGCTGGGTGTCCCCACCTTACAGCATGGCTCGGGTCCAGAAGGCTGCAGTCCTGCTAGCAGCGAGGTGGTTCCCTCCCCAGGCAGGTGGTGAGCTCTGGGAAGAGATGGGAAGCAATGGTTAGTGCACGGTGGAAGGCAAACACTACACAGCTACCATTCCAGTGGCTGCGATAACATCCCCATCCCCAGCTAATGCTGGGAATCTCATATCAGTGTGCCTGTGGGAAGCACATCAGGACATAGCAAGGCAGCAAGATCCTTTTGGATCATTCTCATCGTGATCCTTTGCTGCTTTCTTGGCTATAATATCCACCAAGCTTCGAAAGGAACCAAATCACTAACATGTGCTAAGGATGCAGGATGACCATCCTTAGGAGCGTTATAACTGACCTCTTCCCAGCACCAGGAAGAATGCCACCAAAACAACTTTCCATACTCTCTGGAGCTGTGCTGCCCCAGACAAGCAGCCACTGTCACTGCACATTAACCTGGAAACGCTCAGGAACAAATCTCGAGCTGTACAACTCCTCCTTTACCCCTGGTGCAGACGGAGCGGGGCTCCCTGCGGCCCTGGCGGCCTCCCCTGCACCGCCTCCCTGCACGGAGAAGAGAAAGCAAAACTGCTGCTGTCCCAGCCAGCACGTGGCAGCGCATCCCGGCAGCGCATCCCGGCAGCTCACCCTCCTGACCTCGGCTGGGGGAGACGGAGCTCTGAGCACAGCCCCTTCCTGTGCACCACGGGTGAGTAACCCGGGTCCCTGCAGCAAAGCTCCGCCAGAGCCTTGGAGCCTCCTTTGCAGCCTCCCTGCTTTCCTCATGCGTGTGCCAGGGTTCTCTCAGTACCCCAGCCCTGCCAAGGCCACCACTAACCCCTGGCACTGAGGCCTCGGCTA